CGTGGACCCCCGCCTAACCCTTCGCGTCCAAGTCGCCGCCGCGCTCCTCGGGAAGCCGGCATCGAGGAACGCGGGCTGGAGTTTTACTTACACATGACTCCCACGGAGGGTGGCTCGCCAAGATTTCCTATCTGCGATTCCGCCCTCCCGTTAGATATGGCGCGATACTCTTGGCGTTTGATTGCAAGCTGATGGACGGCTGACGGGAGCAACACCCACTTTCCGAACTCCGATATTACGGATCGCCAACCGAGAAACGCCACAGGCGACGTGGACGAAACAGACTGAAACAGTGCGAGCTGGTCTGCTGGTCAACGAACGTAGATTAGATAGTGGTGCCACCTAGAGCCACGCTCGTTGTCGTAATCGTCGCTGTCGGTAGATACGTCGCGTCGTTCGAAATGCGCGTTTATTTGCGCGAAATGAAATATTTATTAGACTTATATATACTTATTTATTTTATTTATTTATCCATATTTGTATATATATTATAATTGTATGCCTTTATTTGTTCTCTAACAATATGTTTCTAATATTTTTTAAATCACTTTATTCGTATAATTTTATTTACACATACTTTCTAAATTCTTTGGAATGCAATCTCACTTTAAAAAGTGAAAATTGAGCCAGTCTTAAAAAAGAATTTATCAAATTCTTCAATTTATAAGAGTAAAATTTCACTTTTCAGAGATTCACTTAAAAATTTTAGAACATAGATAGTATACAATTATTATATTTGTTGAAACGGTTTATCATACGTTCACAATTAATAAAGAAGTTATATTTAACGAGTTTAAAAATTATAACATATATTGTTATAATACATAATTATTTTATTTTGTTCTTGCTCCGAACTTGATACATTTGCAATAATTTTCTTGTAATTACTTCGATTGTAAGACAAGCGTTTTGTTATCCTTCGTTATGATCTGCTGTATTTTTCCACTTGTAATAAGAAAAAAATTGATTATTATGAAAAAGATTTTACGCGCGTTGTAATATTATATTTCTTAAGCTCTTTCGCATCGAGAACAAGATTTATGCATTTTAAGATAACGAAATTCGCATTGAATGGCATAATCTTCGTTCTTATTGAATTCATTGTCAATAAAGTATAATCCTAGCTGTTGGATTCAGAGTGAAATTCATTTCCGTCGTTTCCTTGTAATTTTCGAAGAAGCGTAGACTCCGTTCTCCGTTCAAGGCTGCAGTTAACAGTCAAGCTAACAGTTCCTCGATGACGTTATAGCTCGCTGTGTGTCTTCGACCTTGGCCGACAACAATGGCAAACGCCGTCGTTTCTCAAAGATTTCGCGGACTGTCCCCTCGGGTGATTCTTATGAATAAATTCTCTTCGTCGTTCGCAACAGGAACGTGCGTGGAATAACAATCGCAGAGATTTTGTCTCGAATATATTTTTTATTATACATACATTAATGAAAATATATACATGGTAGACTGCAGCTTCTCGAAGCAGCGAAGTGTCAATATAATTAGCTACAGTATTCGTACGCGATTCTGTTTCATCTGATTTCTTTTTTTTTCACTTTTTCTTTCTTTTTCTTCTTTCTCGACGACATCCTCTCGATAGCCGAGGTTGTCGAGGTTGTCGGGAGGCACGTGTAGGCCGACACGTGTAGACCATGGATGCTGTTGTGTCGTACGCGAGAAATATTTTTTGGAGTTTTCGTTTATTTCTTAAAATTCATACAGCACAGATCTCCAGTGGATGTCCTAAAGACGTCCAGAAGGCGATCTATGTCCTAAGAATATTCTCGGAACGTTCTAAGGATATTCTTAGAACATGCTGAGAACGTTCCCAGAACATCCCTCAGATAAAGCGTGCTGTGTGCCCAGCAAGCAAACTGGCGTTATTTGTCGTCATTTTGATATCAAAATGACGACAAATAACGTCAGCTTGTTTGCTAGATGGGAATAAACGGCTAATAACGGTCCGACCCGATCCGTTTCCGAATCGTTCTCAGTATGTCGCGATTACGAGACTGATCGCGTCAATCCGTCGATACACGCAGCGGATACCGAGATACTTTCGCTGACTTCGATTAATATCCTTTATCTCTCTCATGCTCATTTTTTTCTTTCTCACACATGCACCCTCTCGCCCTTTCATTCTTTACTCTCGCTCGCATTCTCTCTCGCTCGCTCTTTTCTTTCCTTCCTTTTCTCTTCTCATCCTATTCACAGCCTTCCTACTCAGATCCTAGTCAGCTTTCTCTCTTGCACAGCCAAACACTTGCACGATCACTCAGCGGCATCAACGCTTCGATCTCTTATCTTCTTAATTAACCGTTACAACACGATTCAACGGTGACAACTGCGGATTATTACAATTGATTAAACTGTAAGTGGCGATCATCGAAAGTGTGACGGTACTTCGTTCTTTCGTTCGCGAAAATTCAGACAGATTATCGCAAGTCTGAAAAGATCGTCCGAGCGAATCCCGCACGTCCAAGTCAAAGGGATGCCCGACAAGACTCTTCCGTCTCTCGCGGGTTGATCGAAGTCGCGAGCTGACGCAACGCGATTAACCAACGGACGATGATATCCCGATTGACGGCGGTTTACGGCGACTAATGTAATAGACGTCTCCGCGAATCTCCTCCGGCCGGTTGTCGTTGGCGCATATTATGACCTGCCGATTCGCCCGATGCCCGGATGCCGCGCTGCACTTTGGTTCAGCCAAACATATCGTTCTACGTTAGCGTTACAATCTGTCGCACGCGGGAAAGCTCGCGTTCGACACGACTACATGGATTAGCTTCGTAACATTTCAGGCACTGCGATTGACTTTGTATTTTGAGTTTAGCTCGTGCATCGGACGATGATCAACCGCGGAAACCTTCGGCGAAATTCTCTCGCTTCTTACTCGTTTCGATTCAGGTAGAAAGCTGAAGTTGGGTGCTTTCCAGCAAGAGACATAGATAACCTAGTGTAACATAGTGAATTCATTACGTCTTAATTGTTTGCCGATGTTAAACAAAGATGAAACGATCACTGTGTTATACACGACTTGTACTTTTGTTGGAAAACCATTAGTTTGTCATCATTTTGACATCAAAATGGCGACAAATAATGTCACCTTGCTACCTGGGGAACATAAATCTCATAAATCGGCGCTATTAATGCCAGTTGCTACCAATAAAGATTAATTTTAAAATCGCTTTAACTCACTCTTCATCTTTTTCTAGTTCTAAAAAATTAGAAAAGAATTAGAAAGTTGAATCAAGATTGAAGTTAATCTATATTGATGGAAATGGGCATAAAAGGTCTATCCTTTTCAACTAAACTGTCCTTTTCTTATATAGTTCATCTTTCTTCTTTTTCTTTCCACATTGGAAAAAAAAGAAGAGATGAACGGTGCTAGAAGTTCAGTTAAAAAGAACAGTTCTATTTGATTTCATTTGACGCGAAAGAGTTCTGCCCTCTCTTTTCAGAGAATTCGCGCGGTTGAATCCCCCGGGTGGCCGGAGCGTGAGGGATAATTCCTAAGTAGCAAGCTGCCAAATAAAATACAGAAGTTATAAAGACATCATCATGACTTTATTTGTCTTATCACTGACTTACAACTCAAGCAGAATAAAAAGTCGTTATGACATCAAAGTGGCTCCAAAATGATTATTAAAAATCACTTTTCGATCAGTCACAATTAATTCATCTTAACATCATTTTAACATTAGCGTGATTTGTTGCTCTGCTTGAATTTGTTCCAGCAGAACACAAATCATCAAAATGATATCAAAAGACTCCAAAATGATTGTTAAGTTATTTTTTAATCATTAACGATTCATTTTAGCATTATCAGTGCGCTTCTCACCCTGATGAAGTGAATGGCAAGGTTCACGAAACGTTAGCATTAGTAATAGATGAAAATACGGCGATAACCCGCAAACCTTCTGGTATCTTTGGAGATAATATCCGTGAAAGTCTAAAAAGCGTTATCATTTTAACATTATTTTGATGTATCGTGATTTATTCTGCTTCCACAATCCATGCAGCACAGAAGCTTGCAACAACATTGCCACAACGTGTGCAATATTGCTGAAACGTTGCAATGTTACTAGAATAATCTGTGCTGTATGGGAAATAAACCCATGATGACATCCTTATGACGTCATTATGATTCTGTGTTCTACCTGGGCTGATATTATTTATCATCATTTTGACGTCAAAGCGACATTAAAGGCGTCATTTTGAGGTAAAAAATGACGTAGCTTGCTACCTGGATTCCGTTCGGAGGAGCTCGGAAGGAAAGCGCAAACGCTCATACTGAGATTCGCGAGAGATCGAAAAGCCTTGCGGATAGCGCGCGTGTTATATGTGTACGTGTGTATGTGTCCTGCATCATCGGCGGTTACGTCATGCGCGCGTATAATCGTACATCGCTTATAATTATTAACCTGACTTCGAACGACACGTTTACAATGATCACGTTATTCCACTAGGGATGACATGCAGCGTATAAAACATATCTTATCTATATATTTATTTACTGTTGTATTATATACTAGGTTGCCGCATCCGTTATTTCTGTTACACGCTATATACTTCATATATACGCGGTACGTCTCTTACACGCTACCAAAAGATTAACAATCGATACTTCGTGTTTCTTTCTTCCCCCTCCCCCTCTTTGCTTAACGCGACTTGCCGTATATCGCGATATTAACCGGGTTTACGATTCACGAATCAAAGACAGAGGAAGGAAAAAAAACGAGGCGCGTTTCGCGTCTGACGGATATTGCACTTCGAAACTGGACCGCTTTTAAAAATTTCGCGCGTTGGTCTTCGACCGGCCATTAAAACGCGTTCAAAATGCGTCCACGGCTTCTTTAGTAAAAATCTGGCAAGGGTACGCTTCTAAAAATATAGCCAATGTACGTGTGTGCGCGCTCGCACGCGCGTGTATGTATGTGTAGTGTCTTTTATATTCAAAATAAATTATGTCGATTCGAAACCCAAATCCGCCGTGAAGTTCCGTCGCGAGAACTCTCGGAGATACTACGCTGTGGAATTTCTTCGTGTACAATCAAATGGAAAATCGTAATCCACGTGTATAGGGGTTGCTCCGTCTTCCCGTGGTCCATTTCCCGGCCTCGGGGAAAGTCACGTTCGACATTTCACGTCTTCTTATGAAATTGCTCGTCTCTCTTTACCGGCGCTCAACGCGACCGCGAAGATCCGACGACAAATTGGCTGCTTCATCGAACAATACCATGAGCCGAGATGTTACGGCGCCGATGTTACAATCGGAGCCTTTACAATCACTCGGTCGGAGATTAAATGTCTTTTCTGTTTGTTTTGTTTGTTCCTCACCATCGGGCACATCGTCACTGTAGTCACGGCGTATCCGGGATCAGTTGGCGAAGATCCATCGCTCTTCGCGATACGTCCGTGGCTTCATGATACTGCCGCTATTCCGTTATATTTTTTTTAAACCTAGGCTTAAAAAGTAAAAATGCCAGCGCCGTTCGCCGCCGGCACGAAGTTAATCGGTTTAACACATTAACGCTTTGATTCGTTTTTCAGTCTGTGCTCTCCTAGTCCATGACAAGTTACAAAAAGAAAAAAAAACAAAAAAGAAAACAAGTTAATAAAACGGAGAAAAGAAATAATAGAATAGATGTCCGGGCTGTCGAGGAGAAGGTGTGTTACGTGGTGTTTTACGTTTTACACGGATACTCGAGGATACGATACGCGGGCATAAATACCGTCTGCCCGCGAATCGATGTAAAATGCATCTCTCACGCGCCACCGCTATAGGCCGCGCCAGCGGCGGTGGAGTCTTCAAAGACGATACTCGAGCGTCCTCCTCCCGTTCTCACTCTGTCTCGAGTGTCCACGATCACAAATATACGTCGAAATTTTCGTCGTTGAAAGTTGAAAGTTGTGCGCCCTTGATGCGACAAATTCCGCGACACGCGTTCTTCTTCGTTTTTCTCTCTCTCTTCCTATTTTTTTCTTCTTTTTTTTACGTTTTCTTTTTTTAACGAAAAGGAAAGAAATTCGTAGGTGTCGCTCGGTAATCACGGTACGCGCGATCCGTTAATACTTTTTAAACAGACACCGAGAAGAAACACTTTCACCGAGCCGTACTTTGTCGGTGCATATACGTCTACGTTATACGATAAACGATAATTAATACCCTAAATATTACGACGAGATTCGATTCGCGGTCGCTATGCCGTGTTTTGTTTTTTTCTTTTTTTGCATCTTTTTTTTCTCGTTTATCAATAGCATTATAGGCAGTGTTCGTTGAGAAACTGCTACGATTACACGTCGAGATTGTGTGTGAAATTCGACTTCTGGATACAATTGCACGCAATTATTACGCTCGACTCCATTGCTCCTAAAACTACCGTTCTCTTCCACGTTCCATCGGTAGTACGCGCGCGGGTGCTCATTAAGATATTTATAAGACATTTACGCGTATCTTAAAATAAGTATCTCGTGTTTATCGAGCAACGTAAATCGATAAACTTGCTCGCGTAGCGCTAGGAAAATACGCGTCCGAACGCTAATCAAAATAAGCTCGCTCGCTCTCGAATACGTCGCTCCGTATGTATCGCGAGTGGCTCAGAAAACGCGCACGCGCGCGTCATTTCTCTCCGTGGACACGAACGCTAAATGAAGATCATAGAAAACAATAATATCGCTAAAGAAACCTGAGAATTTCTTTCCTTTGCAGACTAACTTTCCGCACGGAATATAAACCGATATAGTGGCGATGCACTTACTATCGAGATAACGGAGTACAAATAGAAATAATAATAATAATAATAATAATAATTGTAGTAACAGCGGTAGTAGTAGTAATAGTAGTAATAGTAATAGCAGCAGCAGAGCAGCAGCAGCGGTCATAGTGGTAATTGCAGTAGTAGCATCAGTGGCTGTGTTGATGATGGTGACGTACTTCACTCGTTGCATGTGGAGCTTGAATCGATTTAACGATTTGCAATTGACAACGAGTCCCGTTCTCACTTATCAATGTGTGATGGGCAACCGGAGCGCTTCCTCCGGTAACCACGAGAGAGAGAGAAAGAGAGAGAGGTCCCATAATCGCCGCAAGCAGCGACCACCGATAAAGGTCCACTAATCCCGTGGGTATATATATCGGACGATTTTTTACTTCGGAGTTAGGAGTTGAAGGCAAAATCACAGAATGACGCAGCACCGACAGTATCGTTGTCGCGAGGCTCCTGCGCTGGGTGGCGGAGTCGGCGGTGCAAAATACGCGTGCACTTTTAAGTTCGGTAGATGGGCCTAAAATAGCACAAATAACAAATTTAATATTCAATAAACCGTAAATTAAGAGCGACATAAAAATGACAAATTCTACCTCTAATCGTATACGATTGCTACTTTGTTTCGTTCGTTGAAACAAACGGGGAAAAAAAGCAAGTCTCTTTGAAAGTATATTGCAGTGATCTATGATAATACCGTAAACCGCAGTCGTAATATGCTTTACATATGCGATCATTGTTAAGCGGAAAAAGCGGTATTAATTATAGCCGTCGGACGGAATATCGTAATTGCGCATAATTATCGTTATTTTTTTGCGGAATGCGCGATTTGTAATATGATTGCGTGATACGCATTACGCTAAATATAACGCTCCGCGGGAAATACAACCGGATCCCTTTTTCCGCATAACGCATGAACGTCGAAAAATAGGGTAAAACGGGACAATACTCTGAGTTTACGTATGCCCTCTCTGGTAATGTGTAGGCAGTCGTAAAGTTCGATACGCTCGAGATTGTGACAGGCCTGCATCAGATGGTTCAGACCGTTGTCCGAGATGTTCGGGCAGTTGTCCAGCTCTAAGACGGCTAGGTGTTCCGCCGCACATGGCGACAGCGCGATTTGTCTGAGGCCTTCGTCGGTGATCAACTCACAATGTGACAGGCTCTGCATTCGGAAATGGCAAAACTCTCGATAAAGGCGAGCGTTTTTGCGAATCGAGAAAATGCACCGACACTGAACGTCATAAGCATCGCCTAACGCGAATATTTCACATTAAATCGCTACTCACTAGTTTCTCCAATCTCGGACAACCCATCGCCAGATGAGTGAGGGTGGCGTCAGTGATTAAAAGGCACTCTTCCAGATCCATCTTCTCGAGCAGTTTGCAATTCTGAAAGTCGAAAGTCGAATAGAATTACGCGGCTCGGTTGTTTACAGATTTAAACGGTTCGCCGATCAACTCACTCTCGCGAGGGCCTGAAAACCCGTATCCGTGAAATGGGTGCACGCGACGCACTCGAGTACATTGAGAAGTGGACAGTGTTGTGCCAGGCTAATCAACGTCGCGTCCGTTAAATTGGGGCAATTCGACAGGCAAACGTAATGCAGCCGTGGACACCGTTCGCTAAGTTCTCTGACTCCATCGTCCGTTATATTCTGCAATAAGAATCCCAAAGTGATTTTCACTTATTAACGCAATGCCTAGAAATACCGAACGGTCATTATTGATCATTTTTACTTTTTAGATCAATATTAAATATATTTTTCTTCTTTTTGACTTTTTATTTAATTATATCCTCCATACTGATAAAATATTTAGTTTTTCATCACTCTTTCTTTCTATTTTCATACTAATTTATTCGCTTGATCTTTTTAGAGAATAAATAAACGTTGGTATTTCTAATGCTGAGTCACAGAAATAGCTTCCGAGATATACATTTATGAATCAAACTAAATATAAATAATTTTTTGGATAAATAATTTCTTTTTTTTTCTATCGCATGAGATCTGTTTACTAACGAAATATGTATAGATAATTTTTTTAATATTTAATATTATTTTCTTTTTCTTCCTTTATCTCGCATTTTATCGAGAAGTGAAAATTGCCAATGTCTCTACGTATGTTATTGAATGAAATTGTAAATATTATTGCACGCAGTTTCTTTCTCAACTTTCTCAGTATGAAGAAAGACGAACGTTAATTTTATTTCAGCGATACGAGCGGGTCTTATCTTTACGAGGAACACAACGATATCTCATTAACGACAAATCCGCCGCGCGACGACCGTCTGAGGCGCGAGACGCAATTGTTCGTAACACGCGGATTTGCGGAGTCAATGAGATAAGTACCCTGCATTCGTGTAGATTGATCGCTTCGAGATTAGGACAGTAGCGCGCTAAGCACATCACGGCCTTATCCGTCAGCTGGCGGCATCCCTTGCTCAGGAAGCTGCGGAGCTCCGGGCAGCCCTTGGCGAGCGCGTCGACCCCGTTGTCGGTGAGCAGCTCACACCACGAGAGATTTATGTGAGTGAGCAGCGGGCAGCCGGCCGCGAGATCCTTCAGGGACATGTCCGTTATCTCGGGGCAGGAGTCCAGATTCAACCGCTGGAGCTTGGGGCAATGACTGCTGAGGGCCGCGCATGTCGCGTCCGAGATCCTCTTGCACTGACTCAAATTAAGCTCCTCAATATTAGGGCATGACTGGGCTAGGGTGCGCATTGAGTTGTTGCCGATGCTTTGGCATCCTTTGAGCGAGAGCTGCCTGAGGAATCCACCGCAACGCCTCGAGATATTTTCTATTACTGGTCCCTACGCACAAAATCCCCCCCAATCCGATGTTATTTTTTTGTTTTTTTTTTCTTTAAGTGCGTGAGGAACGATTTCTTTTTTTTTTATTTACCTCCACGTCTCGTTGAAAATCGAAGAGATCGATCCTCTGCCAATTGGACCCATCGAGCGCCAATACGTTCCAGGCCTTGCTTACTTGGGCACAACGGCATAGCGATACGACATCGAGGTACGAAAAAATTCTGTCAATTACAGAGATTCGTTAAAACGACTCGCATGTTATTGCCTAACACTTTGCGAACGCAAGGAGGACAATATGGACTTAAGTTTTTCGCGAAGCGTGATAAAACATAACGCTTACGTCTTGTGTACAAATCTTAGCATATAAGATGCCTGTTTCGCATAAAAAAATTTAAAAGACAAATATATGACGTTGCCCGTTTCTATGAATGTAGATTAATTTTAATCTTGATTTGACTCACTTTTTCTAGTTCCAATACCCATTTCCATTAAGATAAGAGAGTTTAGAGATTAAAAATCTATTTTAATACTATCAAAGAATACAAGAGAGTGTCCCAAATTCCTTAATCTCTAATCGTCAAAACTGATAAGTTTCACCGTCTCTTATCGCGACGGGAACACCCAAAACAAAAATATTCTGCCGATAAGCGGGGAATTCCTCTTAACATTTCCTCTAACCAAAAAATCTTATATTAGTTTTACATTAATCAGGTGCGTGTATTTATAACATGTATTCATCTATAAAAATGAGGATATATCAGTTATGATCAAAAATAAATTCCTCTATAGAAAATTCTATTATAACTCGAATAGCCTTTTGAAATAAAAGGATACACAAAATACTAGCGGCACGCTTACTTGTTAGAAGAGATTTGTCATTTACATGCTGCAGTAGTACGCGTGCATGTCAGTACATACAATATATTCTTCTAGTATTGAGAGGAATCGCAATCTTAAATCCAGTACTTTAGGGTTATACGAAATTCCTTTATTTTGTAGAGTATCCTCTTGAGGTCATATATAAATGGAAAATCCTCTGACATTAACATGGAACCGCTAAATGGCAGAATATTTTTTTTTGGGTGAACGCCGGCAGACGCGGACCGTATACGTCGCAGCCAAACGTACGCAGTACCTGAGTAGTAATTCTTTTGGCAGTTTCTTGTTAATCTGCGCCTCGTCATCGTGAAACACCCATGTTAGCTGCAACGGAAAGACAGGTGATTAAATACGATCTGAGCACGACGTGAACCGGGCCGCGCTCGCGTTGTCGTTCGCGGAGCGACGAACGTTCACGTGTCCACGTCTACCAATATAGATCAACATTAATCTCAGGTTAATTAACTGTTCACCTTTTCCTAGTGCTTAGAACTAGAAAAAGATAAAAAATAAATTAACTTTAATCTCGATTTAATTTACCTTTCTCTAACGCTTAGAACTAGACAGAAGGATAAAAAGTAAATTAAACCGAGATTAAAGTTAATCTGTATTGGTAGAAATGGACAACAGAGAGGAGTCGAACAATCCGTCTCCGTTGTACGCATACGTTGACGGGGATGAATGAAGGTTTGAGGAAGAAGGAAAGGGAGAGTAGAAAGAGATACAGAGAGATGGGACGCAACGTTAGACATACGCTTTTCATAGCGGGACACGAGAGAGACGCGGGGAGGAGCGGCGTATGGTAAAGCTCTAGCATTGACATGCTCGGACAAGAGATGGACAGAGATCTCTAGATTAACTAACCTGCATGTAGGATTGCTTCATGGTAGTGACAGGGTTGTGAGTATGCGATTGCGTGTAATAACCGCCCTGATGATGATAATGTTGTTGATGATGATGATGTTGGTGATAATGGTGATGATAGGATGGATGCTGCTGCTTCCACCATTGTCCACCGGTACCGCCGCTTCCTTTTTCCGTCTCCTCGACCAATACCGCTTGTATTGCTCCGACCCCTTGGCCCCCTCCTCCCACTCCTAACTGTTGGAGACTTACTTTTTTCTAAAAAAAACATCCCAATACGTGTCATCTCCGTCGCGTTGACACACCGTCACGCCGCGTAAATGCTTCGTGTACACGCGACAAACGGAATCTTCCCCCCCCCCCCCCCCCCCCTTTCGTTCTTTCGTACATTCGAAATCGGAGGATTTCACGCAAGAACGCGAGGTCCATAGCTCCGCAGCTCCGGTCCGTCTACGATTATTCGCGAGATCCTACTTGGACCTCGTCAATAATGAATTCGTTGCTTTGAGATTCTCAATTTCCAATTTGCTTATCATACTATTATTATAATTTCCATTTAATATGCCAATCGTCCCAATTTTCTTCTTCGCTTAATTTTACACCGACAACAACGTAATTTTTATTAATTATAACAATCGCATTACGGTATCGAGTAATTCTTACATTTACTAAATCATAGAGACACCTACGACCTCGCCGTGTTCCAGATATATGTCGACTTCCTTTCGCACGTACTAATCGCCAATTAATGATTCATCGTCGATCTCGATGTGAACAATAGCGTATGCAAAGTCGGAATTCAAATGATTGCGTTATTCTGATGTTGTTCTGACTGGAAAGTGATACTACTGTTAATTCGCAAGTAAACGCTGTCGTGTTCGAGCAAAAGCGAGCGACTTTCAGTCGTAGTCATACACACGTACATTCATACACACATCGTTAATGCAGTCTGTATTGTGTAAAAATTGTTATTATATTACTACATGTAAAAGGGACTTAAAATGTATTCTAAATATTGTTATATTTTCATTCGTGCAATCTCAATAATCGGTGGATTTCTGCCAAATAATTTTCTTTTTCAGATAGACAAACGATACTCTACGCCACTGAACGTGATATCGCGATATCATCCTTTATTTAATTAGTGTGGAATGCTTTTTGTCCGGCTATCCTCGTTTAATTCTCATCGAAAAGCTACAATATCATATGACTGGAGGGGGGGAAACGAGGGTGTTTCATTGATGTTGCGACAAGTAATTCTTTTTTTTCTGCGGCTTCCTCACTCGGCTTTGTGTCTCGTTGCATTTTCAACGAGGAAAGCGCTCGCTCACTCGCGAAACGCTTGATTATCAGGGAGTTAATAGAAGTGGAAACAAGCGGCGAAGAATGATGGCGCATGCAGAATAGTACAGTGCGCGGGTCCACAAAACATTTTCAAGCGCAAGTTGCTCCCAAGTAAATCTCGAATGTTTTCTTTCCTTTTTACGACTTTAGGTTGTTTCATCTCGCGTAGAATGAAACAACCGTGTTTGTATGCGTGTGTCCATGTATGCATGCGTATATGTATCTCCCCACGTAACGAATACATTGTAAGGACAAATAAAAATTAATGAGTTGCTTGTATGTACGTTTTTCTCATCTCTACCATGTATATATGTCATATAAGGGGTGCCCCAAAATTCGTGACTCAAAACACTAGAAAGTTCTCGAAAATTAAATAAAAATTATTTACAAATTTTTATTCCAAGTAGTAATTTTTGAGATAATAAAAGTTTAAATATAGCAAATTATGGACTACATTTAGATAGCCACCCGTTCATCAGTCGTGCGATATTAATGAGCGCACGCTTTAGCGCAATTACTAGTACTCATATGTGTTTTAAGCATGGTCAGTAATTGGTTATACTTAAACTTTTACATTTGAAAAATTATTGCTTAAAATAAAAACACTCACAAATAACTTTATTACTTATTTTTTCGAGAACTTTCTTGCTATATTATTTTGAGTCATGAATTTTAGGACACCCTATGTATATAATGTGGGGGGATTATGTGAGAATGATTTTAGTTGCAGGAACTAAATAAGGCCTTGATGCTCCTGTAAACAAGTCGAAAGAAGAAAGGAAATTCATATTCGAATCATAATATCAATGGTAAAACTACTGATAATTTGAATGGCAAATTATTCGGCTAGGATATTAAAATATTGCTAGAATACACATAAAATTCATCTCACGTAAGACAATTTTTTACGACTTTACGTGAGATAGAAACAGAGAAACTGTCTCTTCACTTCCAATAGCTGCAAAAAGATGGCTTTTTTGCATATCTTTTTAACGACAGTCGTACGTTGTCGATGTTATAAATAAATCAATGAATTTGCTTACGTCTGTGAGATACATACATGAAACGATCTATACATAATGAGAAAGCTTCTCATCTTACATAGCCATAAGGATAAGTAATTGTTACAGATCGTAACGCAGGTCATAAAATTACAATTACCAATTACTATTTTTTGTAAACGTTTATTTATTTAATGCCAATTGGGTGAGATAAAAATTTGCACCTCCAGTTTCCTTCGCAAATAGAAACTAAAGGTGAGATACATAAATATGTCTACAAAGAATTTGGAATAGCATAAATTTGGAATATATTAATAAATATATTAATAAATTTATTTGTTCGTAATAAATATTAATAAGTAAATTAGTAATGTATTATATCACAATATATATTTACAATTCGTGTGTTGTTTCCTAAAAATTTAGCGACTCGAACAAATTACGAATAATTAATAAATATTAATAAATATAATTTTGCTCAATACAGCGAGATTCCTGCCATCTGGATAAGGATACTTTGACAACACGTTCTTGTAAACTTTATAACAAAATTATTACCGCCATGACGATACCTATAACATACAAAAAAAAATTAAACAAAAAGTTGTTTGAGTTATATGTTTAATTTCACAATGTGGCACTCCAAGCAAAAAATTATCTCATGCAAGTATGGCTTATGTAAAACATTAGAAAATTTATCGAATAATTTTAGCAGTTGAAGATTCTTGTAAGTCTCAATGTTAATAAAAATCCTCTAATTTCATGCAATTTTAGATCGTTAAATTTTCCAATGAGTCTGCAGTCCAATGATTCAGCGATCTTTGACCAATAAGCTAACAATCTACACATGCAAAAGGCATCTGTGGACGGCGTTAAATAGACAAATCTTGCAGAGTTTATGCGTCCACCGTTGAGATTAGAAATGATGAATTCGTTCGCGGATTTCGCGTTTGGTGCTCGCGTGCGAGGTAACGCACGAGGGGTTTATTTTACTTCGGCCGCGAAATTGGGATACGTCCATTTCGTCATTGTGTACGTCCTTGAAATAAAGGCTGAAAGCGCTTTTATCAATAATGGCCGTATGCATAGATCGCGAGCGGGCGCGAGGGCGAACTCTTCAAACTTCCATGTCTTATCGCATGAAGTATGCAAGCGTTGCATAAAATTATACAGGATAACGAAGGCGGTTTGGCCATCGATGCGACGAAGATACGCTATTGCGTTTCGGCCTTAAACCGTAAAATACGAGCGTAGCCTCGTGAATAATTATGACTCGTGTAATCCGGAATCGTTCTTGGTGCGCGGCGAACGAAATAACCAAAATAGCCAAGCACAAAAAGATTTAGTCTCTATTTTATATTCTAAACGTATTGTAATTTAAGCGCTATATTTTCTCTCAGTTTTCCTCCAAACGAACTTTATTTCTTCAAAGACCAAAAGTAGTTAGAAGCCTTAATTTTCAGACAGAGCTAATTTTATTTTAAATAAATTATTTCATTTTATATATATATATATATATTGATAGAAAGTATCTAAATGGTGTATAATCGCGACTGGTTTAATGATCACACGACGATTGGTGTCAGATCTAAAAATAACAAATATACGTAATGTATCGAGAAAGGTAACATAGACACAGCGATACACTTATTGCTGATCGGCCATACTCAAGATTAGACAGTCTTTGTGTCTGCGTTTTTTTTCTGCTGAAGGTTAAAGCGCATTTGCAAGTTCCTACGTGCGCAAATTAATATCCAACTTTATTATTCCTCAAGTTGAGAATTCATTACTAATACATATTTCGCGTTTCATTATACCTTTATATATCGTTCTGTCAAACACTCAAAGATCGTTTTTCGCGATACGTCAAGAGCCATTCTCCGTTTGGCCCGTGTTGCTATTTCTCCGAATTTCACTCGGTACGTGAGCGCATGGCGCGGATCCGCGCGAGCGGGTTCAAAAGCGGCAAAATAAGCGGTCATCGATTCGGTATTCGCCTTAAATACACACAGCCGCCGCTGTGCAACGTAACATATGCGCCGCGACGTGTGCTAAAATGCGGAAGACAAATAGCGGCGCGCGGGGGATCGTGCCATAAACAAAGTGCGCAAATTGCGACGCGACGCGACGTGACGGCGACGTCGGAGGGAGAGCGAGGACCCCAGCGCGACGTCGCCGGTTCCGATACGATTGCCTTCTATTATTCCTTATCTCTATCAGGGAGACTCGCGAGCGGGCGATATCACGGCCGCGAACGTGAGAGATCAATGTGACCGTCAAGAATCTCCGTTTCGCAACCGAGAGAAAAAAAAGAAACAAGGACAGGCAATAAGAGTCGCTGGCAACTCGATAATAATAAGAGATAAAAAAACAATGATTCTTATATTTAAGATTCCATTTGATTGCATTTAACGAAATTATTCGATTGAGAATTTTGATTTAAATTGGAAAACAGTTCCATAAACACGTTCCTCTAAAAAAAACATTGGAGACAAATAGATATTATTGAATTTCGATTAATTTTATTTTAATATTCATTTCATACTTCCTAGACATTATTTGTTTATACTCGAACTATGTGGTATCTTCGCAAGAAAAGTGACAAATTAAAAATATATGTGTCCATCAGAGAGGAAAGAAAAATTGTTTATTTTTAAATTAATTTATATAGCTGTTATAGATATCGAAGGAGTAATGGTAATCCAATCCCTTGAGTTAAATAACATTCTGTTACTTTTAACTTCCATGTATGTCAAAATCTAAATCAATTCATTTCTGTAATTTATGGTTTCAAAATAAACAACATCTATATTAATGTATGCACTTAGTAAATAACGAAAATTTAATATATTCTTGAGTTAAATTGTTTGCACATTCTATTTAGTTAAATTAACGATATATACAAGCAGTGAC